GCCAGGCTGGATGTACAGGGATATAGCAGGGTGAGAGTGTGGGAGATGATGGGTGAATGGAGAGCTCTGCCTTTGAATATTGATTGATGCCACAGCTGGTGAGTGGAGACATTGAGGCTCAGAGAGATTTGAGAAAATTCTTTAAGGTCATATAGGTAGGCAGTTATGGAGCCAGAATAGGAATCTATGTGTGGCTGGCAACAAAATGGAAGCTGTTTTCTCTCTCAGGCTGTTAAAACCCCTCCCACACAGATTAACAGCGACTCCTGGGTGTTGCAGTGCTGCAAGTGATGGCCGCACTCTTCCCCACGTCTCTCCTTCCCCTTCTCTCCTCCCTCCCTCTGAAGCAGATGTTTCCCCCCTCTCTACGTGATGTATTTTCTTTCAGTGTGTGCCTGTATCCAGTGCAAGCTCTGTTTCCAGGGAAGTTAGGCAGATGGAAATTGTTGAGTAAAACGGCCAGACCTGGTTCATTCCAGACCTCACATTCTTTTCATTGCGACATGAGTGCTTTGGAAGAAAAGGAGACACAGGGGTCTGTTTTTTGTTTATTTGTGTGTGTGTGTGTGTTTTTTTGTTACTGGGAAATTCGACCCATTCACAGTCATTATGAGAACTAATATGCTTGGTCTAACTTCTACCATCTTATTGTATATTTTCTGTTTATTCTTATTCCCTTATTTATTTACTTTGAAGAAATTGATCAAGTCTAAAAAAAATCTACCCGTAATTAAGTTATGTTGGTAGTTGCATTTATACTGATAGCAAACATAATTAAACTCAAATTTCTCTATCACTTTACCAAAGTTAAATAATGACTCTGTTTATCTTACTCTTTCAAAGTGAGACTTTTAGCATGCTTTTGCTTTTCCAACCCCTGTTGCTTTGATTCCTAGATTTTGTTGAAATAATTTGGTATTTTAGTTCTGAGCTATTTTCTTATGCTTCCTGGATTTTAAAAAATCCTTTCTTAATAATGTATCATAATTCTTAGCTACATTACTAGCATTTTAAAAGAGATTTAATGATTTAATGAATATCTTGCACATAAGGGGGGACTAGGTTTCCTGCCCACCATTATTTGTTTCCATTAGCTTGAGGTCTTTGTGTGTGCGCGTGTGTTTTTAATCCTCACTTGAGGAGTGAGGATATTTTTTCCATTGATTCTTAGAGAGTGGAAGGGAGGGGGGGGAAGGGGGAGAGAGAGAAACATCTGTGTGAGAGAGACACATCAATTGGTTGCCTCCTGCTTGCACTCTGACTGGGGCCTGGGATTGAACCTGCGACTGAGGGATGTGCCCTTGACCTAGAGTCAAACCCGAGACTTCAGTTTTCAGGCTGATGCTCTAACCACTGAACAACCAGCCAGGGCAGCTTGAGATCTCTATTCTGATTTAATTTTTAGCTGGTGTACTTCCTCAAGTAGTTTTACCAGAAAGGGAATAGAGGTGGTGCCCTATCCACGTAGCTCAATTGGGAGCACTGTCCCAATATGCCAAGGTTGTGGATTTGATCCCCAGTCAGGGAACCTTACAAGAATCAAGCAATGAATGCAGAAGTAAGTGGAACAACAAATCAATCTCCTCCTCCCCTCCCCTTCCCTTCTTCCCCCCTCTCCCTCCCCCTCTCCCTCCCCCTCTCCCTCCCCCTCTCCCTCCCCCTCTCCCTCTCCCCTTCTTTCTCTCTCTAAAATAAATAAATAAAATTTAAAAAATGAAAGAGAATAGCAGTGGTAATCTCTACACATCTATTTTTCTTTTAAACTTCAGAGTAATCTATTGGTCAGGTATAGGCATTTAGCTTGGAACTCAGTCCCTTGTCTCAGAACTTGTAATGGTTATTCTTCTGTCTTTAGTGTCCAGAGTTGTAGATTTGAGAAGGCTGTCCTCTGCGCTGGCCTTTGTTGGAAACTTGTTCTGTTTGGAAGTTTATAAGATTGTCTCTTTACCCTTGGAGTTCAGAAATTTCACCAGGATATCTTTTGTGTTAATCTTGGCGCTACATGAGCCTTTCTAATCTGAAACCTCAAGCCTGTTTTCAACTAAAGGAACTTTTTATCTATTATTTTTATTTTTTTTGAACTTGTGGGTTTTTTCATTAGGAAATACCACATTTTAAAATGTTTTTATTGATTTGAGAGAGAGAAAAGGAGAGGGATAGATAGAAACATCAATGAGAACATCAGATCAGATGTCTTCTGCACGCCCCCTACTGGAGATTGAGCCTTGTGCCTTGACCAGGAATTGAATCCACTATCCCGGTATCACAGTGCTTGTGCTTAAGTAACCATTATTTTACTTAATAATACCCCAAAAATGTTTCCTTCAAGTGGAAAGGTATGTGTGTAAAGGACAAAACATAGTATTATATAGGGCTCGATTCTATTAGTGGTTACAGGCATCCACTGCGGGTCTTGGAACGAATACCTTGCAGATAAGGGGAGGACTACTGTAGTGTTTAAATTCTCTTGTTTCCACCCTAGCTGGTTTGCTCAGTGGATAGAGCATTGGCCTGCAGACTGAAGTGTCCTCGGTTCGATTCTGATCAAGAACACATGCTTGGGTTGTGGCCTCGATCCCTGGTGGGGGGCGTGCAGGCGTCAGCTGATCAATGGTTCTCTCTCATCATTGATGTTTCTATCTCTCTTTTTCTCTCCCTTCCTCTCTGAAATCCATAAAAATATATTTAAAAAAATTTTCTTGTTTTCTACATTAACTCTGCTTCAGTGCAAAACCACTTGCGATGGGAGTGCCCGTGGTGGTAATCTCAAGCTGCTCCTATATTTGTGCCCTGAACTTCCAGAATCACCCCCTCTAGGAATTCCTTTAGCCCTCTTGCAGGTGGTGAGAATTAAGGAAAGTCATTCTTCCCTAAGAGCTCAGCTGTGAATGGGATGGCAGGTGGGACTTCTCATTGACAGTGGGGAGGACCCTTAAATTCCTGGGCTTTGTTAAGGTGGGATTGAGGCAGGTGAGCTCTCTCCTCCTTGTAATGGGGGGGGAGGGGTGCAGCGGTGGCTGCAGTTTAGCTGAATAGGGCAAGTCCCTTTGGAGGCAATGGCCTGAGCAGGGTTGGCAGGAAGGGGCAGTTAGTTCTCTCTTTATGTGCTGAGGCCATCTATCCTGGCTTAACCAGCTGGGACTCCTCAGATCACCTTCCCATGCTGCCAGCCCCCACCTCAGCCTGGTGCTGAAAGTGTTGAGCCCTAGCCTGCCGGGAACCAATGCCAGCATGCCATCATTTCAAGAGTTTCATCAAAAGGTTGATGAAACTTGGGGACTCAACAGGGTTGAGTCACACATGGAGTCACCTGTTGGGAATGGCTAAAGGCATTTCCCCAAACCTGAATAGGAAACTGATTGTGGCTGCCAGACAGCTAAAGGGCATCTTAATCTACATGTTATTGCCTCCTACTGGCCAAACACCTGAACAGCCGTAGGCTATTCCCCAAACTGACAATGGTTCTGTACCCTTTGAAACCTTACCCTTTGAAGTGCATTATCTCCACCTTGCCTTAGGACAAATTGTGTTAGTAAAAGCAAGGGGCCTAGACAAGGAGGCACTCTTCAGTTCCTTTAGCTGAAGGTCCTCTGACCCCCAATGCCTTTCAAAATTATATCTCGTCTCCGGACTCTTTATTAGTCTCTGGATTCCTATGTCATCTACGCACAGTGCCTTTTCCAGATTCCTGAACCCTTCTTGATGCTGGGACATGAACCCCGGCACTAGCCAGTTTCGCAAAGCAGTTAGAGCATTGGCAGGCAGACTGAAGGGTCCCGGATTCTATTCCGGTCAAGGGCATGCACCTCCATTGCAGGCTGGATCCCCAGCCCTGGTCGAGGCGTGTGTGGGAGGCAATTAATTGATGTGTCCTCTGTCTATCCCGCTCTCTCCCACTCTCTCTAAAAATCAATGGAAAAGTATCCTCAGGTGAGGATTAACTAAAAAAAAATTTTTGTTGTTGAGTTTCCTCCTACCAGAAGTTGGGGGGGAGAGAGGAGTTACAAGGAGATATTCAGCTCACTCTCTTCACAGGATTCCTTAACAATTGTTTCAATTTGCATTGAAACGATGCCCTGAGCATTATATTCAGTAGTCTTTCTAACAGTGTTGATGCCATATCCCTGTCTGTCTTGTCCTGGGCCTACCAGTGGTAGGCAAACTGCGGCTCGCGAGCCACATGTGGCTCTTTGGCCCCTTGAGTGTGGCTCTTCCACAAAATACCGACTTCTGTGCATGGGCCACGAAGTTTCAATTGCACTGTACACGCCCGCCCGCACGTGGTATTTTGTGGAAGAGCCACACTCAAGGGGCCAAAAAGCTGCATCTGGCTCGCAAGCCGCAGGTTGCTGGCCACTGGCCTAGACCAGTGGTCGGCAAACTCATTAGTCAGCGGAGCCAAATATCAACAGTACAATGATTGAAATTTCTTTTGAGAGCCAGATTTTTTAAACTTAAACTATATAGGTAGGTACATTGTTATTAATTAGGGTACTCCTAAGCTGGCCTTTGCTAAAAACGTCCTCAGTCTGATTGAGGAGGTACGTTCGCTGAGGTCGACCCCTTCCAACTCTCCCATCCACACTCGTCTTGTATACTTGTTTCAGATAGACCAGTGTGGATGGGAGAGTTGGAAGGGGTCGACCTCAGCGAACGTACCTCAGAACAATGTACCTCCCCCACACTGCGTATCCTGCGGCCCACCTGACACCCCCCCACTTCTTCTAATGCCACTTCTTCAAAATAGACTCGCCCAGGCCAAAAACCGACTTCTGCGCATGGGCCATGAAGTTTCAATCGCACTGTACGTGCGCGCCCGCATGTGGTACTTTGTGGAAGAGCCACACGTGGCTTGTGAGCCACGGTTTGCCGACCACTGGCCTAGACAAACATGGTGTCAGAGGCATCCTTAGGTCCCAATGCGACCAGACCTTAATTAAGGTATCAAGAAATGTTGTGTAGGTGAGTGATGCCTGTTTCTTTTTCTTTTTTTTTTGTAGAAAATAAGAAACCAGGTAAAAGTTCCAAAGGCTGCAAGAAGGTAAGTTGGCCCAACCCTCAGGTAAGGTGTGCCCACTGTTGGGGTAAGGCTAGGAACAGGTTACCTGCCCTAGAAGAAGCCCATAAAACCCAGTAGAGATGGTGGGTGACTCTAGACCAGTGGTTCTCAACCTTCCTAATGCTGTGACCCTTTAATACAGTTCCTCATGTTGTGGTGACCCCCAACCATAAAATTATTTTTGTTGCTACTTCATAAGTGTAATTTTGCTACTGTTATGAATTGTAATGTAAATATCTGATATGCAGGATGTATTTTCATTGTTACACATTGAACATAATTAAAGCATAGTGATTAATCACAAAAACAATATGTATTTATATATGTGTTTTCCTATGGTCTTAGGCGACCCCTGTGAAAGGGTCGTTCGACCCCCAAAGGGGTCGCGACCCACAGATTGGAGACCCACAGGTTGAGAACCGCTGCTCTAGACAGAGTAATACATCGGACTCAGTGGAGCTGGCTTTCCTTCTCTGTCTGGGTGGCCGCAGCAGAGAATCAGCAGCGTTTATTAAGTTTATACCACAAGCCACACGCTCCTTAGTGCTTGATTTACCTTGGCAGGGATTGCTGTGGTCCCATTTTTTAGATGGAGAAACTGAGCTCAGTGAGAAAGTTCCTAGATTCGGGGTAGTGCAGCTGGGACTTGAGTCTGCCTGAGCCCCAGTCCCTGTCACTCATGGGTGGAGAAAGGCTGAAACATAATGACTGGCTCCAGCTCCTGGATCTCCTGGCCCTGCTAGGAAAGATATGAACAAGTCAGACTTGGGCCAAAGCAGTGGTTGTCAGATTGTAGCAGATGGTTAAAGTTCTCACACTTTATTTTATTTTTAAAAAATATTTTTATTGATATCAGAGAGGAAGGGAGAGGGAAACAGAGAGATAGAAACATCAGTGATGAGAGAGAATCATTGACTGGTTGCCTCCTGCACACCTCCTACTGAGGATGGAGCCCGCAACCCAGGCATGTGCCTTGACTGGGAGTCAAACTGACCTGGTTATAGGTCGGGCTTCTGAGAATTTGTATTTCTAACAAGTTGCCAAGTGATGATGCTGCTGGTCTAAGGACCACACTTGGAGAACTACTTAGCTTTTCCCTTTGCCTTTACTTGGGAAACCTTCCGAGTTGCATCTCCCTTTCCTGGGGTTCTTCAGTCAGTTCCTGCCTGGGTAGTGGAGGGAGGGTCTCTCTTTAGCAAGATGGGCATACCTTTGAGGCAAGCCCTTTTTTTTCTCCTCCCTTTCCCTTGGCAACAACACTTCTAAGAAGCTCTAACCCCTCCCTGGAGGGTGATTTTCCTGGGTTCATTAGCTCTGTTTGATTTTTTTTTTTCCTCTCGTGTGGTGACCATCCTGTAAAGCAGAGTGGGAAGAAAGCAGCCTTCAAGCTGGTCTCCACCCCCCAGTTTGTTCACTCCAATGATCATACCAACCGGGAGGCTGAATTAAAGAAGAAGAGGGTAAGCCCTGTACCATGGGGGAGAGAGGGCTTGCCTGGACTGCCAGTTCCTCAGCAGTGGTGAATGGAAGGGTAAAGGCCAGAATGGTTAGGGTTGTAGAGGCTGTTCTGGAAGGTGGAAGGGAGGATGTTGCTTTGCTATTGGACTTAGTGTCTCCAGTTGCTCACCTCCCAGTCCATTGCTGTCTGGCTTGTGTTCCCACGGCTCCACCGAAATGGTCTTTGCCAGCCTCACCAGTGCATTCTCTGATGGAGAGTTCTCATCTAATTTGATCTGAATTCTCTGCATTTGAGACCTGCTTTCCTTGAAATACTCTCACTGTGACTTTCTTGTCATCTTACTCTCCTAAATGTCCTCCTTCCTCTCTGTCAGTCTCCCTGCTCTCTAAATGGTGGGGCATCCCACAACTTTGTCCTCTTCTCCCTCTGTTCTTGTTTCCTCTGCCAGGAACATATTCTCTCTCAGCTTCCCATACCTTTCTTATATACTTATTGATTTCAGAGAGGGAGGGAGGGAGGGAGGGAGGGAGGGAGAGAGAGAGAGAGAGAGAGAGAGAGAGAGAGAGAGAGAGAGAGAGAGAGAGAGAAACATCAATGGTGAGAATCATTGATCGGCTGTCTCCTGCAGGCCCCACACCGAGGATGGAGCCCACAAACTGGGCATGTGCCCTGACCGGGAATGAACTGACCTCCTGGTTCACAGGTTGATGGTCAGCCACTGAGCCACACTGGCTGGGTCCCCTTGACCTTCTTTTATTGTTCTCTGCCCCACTTTCCCTTCCTGCAGCACTCTGTTTTTTTTTTTCTTTCTCTCAAACCCCTTATATCCTGCTGTCATATCTGCTTGCGCCCTGTATCCTTGCTCCTTCCACCTCTGCCATGCCACGCTGTTTCCTTCCACTGTCACCCGTTCCCTGTTCCTCTCCGTCTCCTGTCCCTCCCTTAGGCTGCAGACCTAGTCAGCTGCAGTCCTGGTGTGTGTTCCCTTGTTAGATTGAGGAGATGAGGGAGAAGCAGCAGGCTGCCAGGGAGCAAGAGAGACACAGACGCAGAACCATGGAGAGCTACTGTCAGGATGTCCTGCGACGCCAGGAGGAGTTTGAGTCCAAGGTAAGAGAGTAATTTTGCCCCTGTGTAGTACTGGGGCGGGTTTGCTCAATAGCACCTTTTGCCGTTGCTCTGTGAAAGGGAGAGAAAGGATGTGAGATGGTTGGAAGGGAAGTAGGCAATCCGTGGAGAAAGGATGGGAAGACAGGACAGAGGGATGGAGGGTGAGAGGGAGGTAAAAAGCCATTTTGAGCCTTGTGTGTGACTGGACAACCCTGGATAGGTCCTTTCTCCCAAGCTAGAACCCAAAGACGGGGGGTGGAGTGGGGTTGGGAGGACTAAGGCAGGGGTGAGGAACTTCTGGCCCGCAGGCCATAAAAGTCCCGCGAAATTATTTGGTCTGGCCCTGCCAAGGCATTAGGGGTGAGTTACTTAAGTTTGACTAAATATAGCAGGCTAATTTTTACACACCCATATGCACACTCAGGCCTCTCTCTGGTGCTCGAATACACATACGCATAGGCACACATAGGTACCATCTGGGCCCGTGTGTTCTTCCACTTCCCAGCTCTGGTGGCTGGGACTCACATGGCTCCCCCAGCTTCACATGGTCTCCAATGCCCTGGCTCTTTCTCGCTCTATTTCCTCCCATGGACCATTCTCTTCTTTTTTCCTTTAGGAGGAAGCTTTGCAGGAATTAAATATGTTTCCTCAGCTGGATGATGAGGCCACAAGAAAGGCCTATTACAAGGAGTTCCGTAAGGTATGGGGACTCTTTTCTTTTTTTAAAAAAAAAAAATACATTTTGATTGATTTCAGAGAGGAAGGAAGAGGGAGAAAGAGATAGAAACATCAATGATGAGAGAGAATCATTGATTGACTGCCTCCTGCATGCCCTCCACTGGGGATCGAGCCCAAAACCCAGGCATGTGCCCTTGACTGGAATCGAACCCGGGACCTTTCAGTCCACAGGCCGACGCTCTGTCCACTGAGCCAAACCAGCTAGGGTGGGACTCTTTTCTTAAGGCCCTTCAGGGAGGGTACCAATCCAGTCCCATCTCCTCTCCATTTCTGTTTTCCCTGACTGAGATGGAGGCCTTTTCATTCATGGGCCTCTGCGATTGCTACCCAGTCCTCTGCCTGCCTCCATCCCTCACCTTCTGCCCTGCAGGTAGTGGAATACTCTGATGTGATTCTGGAAGTTCTGGACGCCAGGGACCCGTTGGGCTGCCGCTGCTTCCAGATGGAGGAGACTGTCTTGCGGGCAGAGGGCAACAAGAAGCTGGTCCTGGTCTTGAACAAGATTGGTGAGTATTGAGAAGCATTGGGGGAGGCATGGCAGGGGGCAGGCCTTCTTGAAAGACCAGCTCTGACCAGATCCTGAGATGCAGCAACTTCAGTGGTATTCCTAACAGTTTGTGCAACGTAGGAATTCTTGTTACAGTCTTTCTAGCCAGGAATCTGAGAGGTGAAATCATTTGTCTAAAGCAGGGGTGGGGAACGTCTGTATAAGGTCCAACAAGTCATTTGGTCTGGCCCTGCCAAGGCATTAGGGGTGAGTTAATTAAATGTTTGACCAAATAAATCAGGCTGATTTTTAAGTTGATAATTTTGCATGGCCTGAGAATGATGTTATAAATATCCAAATAGCCCTTGGCAGAAAAAAGGTTCCCCACCCCTGGTCTAAAGACACAGCGCAGCAGAAGTTGGAATGGTGTGCAATCCCGGCTGCCTTTGATTCCTCCATTCTTGCTATTTTAAGCCTTATCTGTGACTGGCCATCCCTGGAGAGTGTCTTCTCCAAGCTGGAACCCAGAGACTAGGGCACAAAAGCACATGGACTCAGGAGTCACTCGGGTCTGGCTCTCATCTCACTTGTGCTCTTTTGTCTGGGATCTCGGACAAGTCCTATCACCTAAGAGCTTCCATTTCTCTAGCTTTAAAATGGGCTGTGATTGTCCCAACTCACAGTGTTGTTGTGAGAATTAATAATAAAGTGCTTGGTATATGTGTGGTCAGTACCTCACAAATGGTAGCCATTTTGCCCACGTTATTCTTGACATTTGGTTCAAATTAGAATGATCCAGAGAGGGGATTGGAAACATAATCTTTGGGAGACCTGGGACCTAATAACTAGTTTTCCCATTCTCCCTGAGGGAATAGAGATCGCCTCAACTGCTTCCCTAGAATACAGTGTCCTTTCTAACTCTAACTTAGGGACTGTACAGGGACTGCCAGGGCCAGGGAGCTGTCTTTGTCAGGAGGTGGGCCTAGCCTCGGGTATGGGTAGATGCATCTTCCGAGTGAGCTGTCGAAGTTATGTTCTCCTTACCTGTTCTATCCGTTCCTGTTTCCCCCAGACCTGGTCCCCAAGGACATTATAGAAAAGTGGCTGGATTACCTTCGGAATGAGCTGCCAACTGTGGCTTTCAAGGCCAGCACCCAGCATCAGGTCAAAAACCTGGTAAGCAGGGGCAAGGGGCATCTAGACTCTTTCAGGATAGCTTGGGGCCAGGGATGCCTCGGACTGGGTCTCCAACTCTTTGGTAATTGAATTAGGCCTTCAGCTTTGAGCTTTTTGCTTTACTGGATGACTTAATATTCATTTAATTTCTTCCTATATTATTGCTCTTTAGGAAGCATTTTCTCCAGATGTAAGGGTAATACATATTGGAAAATATAGAGAACTGTTCCATTTTAAAATACATGCCTCTGTTTTTCTCTTTAAAACATCACACTACTTTCTAATAGATCATTAACATAGAAATACATTTTCATCATAAAATATTAAAGTATATAGAAACATTGGTTGCTTCTAGGGAGAGAAACTGGTGCTGGGGATATTTTTTCAATTTTGCACCAGCATAAATTTTATTAAAAAATAAAGTAAAAAAAATAAAATAAAAACAATTGCATATAAAGCTTAATTACTCTTTCACCAATACCCTTAATTCCAGTCTCCTTTATCCACATATAACCAGAAGTAACCATCATTGTAAGTATGGAAGGATCCAGATGTTTTCCTGTACTTTATATATACACAGGGAAGTGTATATAAAGAGAAAACTATGTTTGTGGGTATCATATCTTATCCTGTGGCTTGCTTTTTTCCCCCTCTTGGATATCTTTTTACTGAGATCTATCTTCTGATGCTAAGTAAAATTAGTTTCCAATTTTTTTATTGTTATAACCAGTACTTCAACACACACTCTTGCACATATTTGTGTAGGTTAGGAATTGAGAGGTAGAGTGGCTGTGTTATAGGCTTTATGCATTTTATATTTTCCTAGACACAGACAAATTGCACACCCCCCCCCCACCACCAAGGGGCTGCACCATTTATCTTCCCGCCAATGGGGTAATGAATGTGTGACAGGGCCTATTTCCCTCCACCTTTGCTAACATTTGATACCATTGAATGTTTTCATCTTTGCTAATCTGGAAGACATATGATATCTTATTTAAAAATGTTTTGACCTTTTTCATGGCAGAAATGTGGTAAGAATCCTTTGCTATTAGCTTTCTTTCATTTGTATTCCACTTTAAGGATATATTTCATTAACCTGCTTCTTGTTGATGGATATTTAGGTTAATTTCTATTTTGCAATAGTGTGGTGGGTAAGTAAGGAAAGAAGAAGAGATGGAAGGGTATTCTGGGTAGAGTAGGTAGCATCAGGAATAAAGAGATAGAGGCTGGCCCGGCCGGCGTGGCTCAGTTGATTCAGCATCGACCCATGAGCCAAGGGGTCGAGGTTCGATTCCCAGTCAGAGTACATGCCCGGGTTGTAGGCTCAATCCCCAGTGAGGGGCATGCAGGAGGCAGCCGATCAATGATGTTTCTCTCTCATCTTTGTTTCTCTCTCTCTATCCCTTTCTTTTCCTCTCCCTCTAAAAATCAATAAAAGCATATTTAAGAAAAAGAGAGGCTGGAATGGCCTTGTTCTGTGTGAGGAATCAAGGGAAGGTGGGTTGTGTGTGGGCCAGGCATTATCTTTCCCTTTGCAGGCTGGGATGGCGGGCATCCCTGTTGTGCACACAAGGGCACCAAGGTCCTGAGAAGGGAAGCAGGATTTGCTAGGCACACACCTGTGAGAGGAAGAGTTGGAAGTCCAGCCTGGCCTGTCTCGAGGCTAGGATGCCATACTGTCCCTGCTGAGACATATGTAGGCAGAGACAGGGACAAAGAAGACAAAGAAGACTGGAAAACCAGAACCGCGGGTCTCCAAGGGGGGCAGAGAAACGGCAGGTTTGGAGCCTGTGTGAGAAGTCTCCCACTTTGGCCTGAGGATCTCCTTGATCACAGGCAGGCCCTGAAAGTTGAAACTCGGGGCTCAAATCACATCTCCCTCTTGATGCCTCTGCTGTACTATTCCTCATTTTCTAGAACCGCTGCAGTGTGCCCGTGGAGCAGGCCTCTGAGTCACTGCTGAAGAGCAAAGCCTGCTTTGGAGCTGAAAACCTCATGAGGGTTCTGGGGAACTATTGCCGCCTCGGTGAAGTGCGCACCCATATCCGTGTGGGCGTTGTGGGTAAGGCGCCTGGGGAGAGGTCACAGGGCTCAGGCTCTCCTTTGGACAGGGGCTTCATTGTGGGAAAGGATCCTGGGAACTTGGTGTCACCTTTTTGGGGGGAAGGGTTTTGTGCTTTGTAATTTGGATTGGTGGACGTGGGAACACATACTCAGAAACATCACCATGCACTGCATTTTATTTTATTTTTTAAATATGTAATGGAGAGGGATACAGGGATAGAAACATCCCCGAGAGACATAGATTGGCTGATTCCTGCACGCCCCCTACTGGGGATCAAGCTGCAATGCAGGTATGTGCTCTGATTGGGAATCGATCCCAGGACCTCTTGGTCCATGGGTCGTGATGCTCAGTCACTGAGCCACGCAGCCAGGCCATGTTCTGCATTTTAGAACCATGGACCAAATGCATAGGGCTAGGCTTGGAGTTGGTACCATCTTATCCTACCAGAGCTGCGGGAAGGAGTGGTGAACATCTCCCTTTCACAGATAAGAACACAGAGGCCCAGAGATGGGAAGGAGACTTGAGGGTCTCAGCTCTGTGTGAGACAAGGCAGAGCTGAGGCTCAAACCTGGGCCTGTCTGGATCTCAGGGCACCGAGGGGAGGATGGTGGGTTTGGAACAGGGGAATTAAGAGAGGCAGAGGTGGAGCAGCAGGGAGAGGAAGTGAAGCCAGCAGAGAAAGACATTGACAGAGAGAGTGGACATTGAGAAAAGGGTGTAGATACACATACCTGAATAGTCAGAAAAGGAACTGGAAAGCCAAGGGGTGGAGTTGGTGGGCAGTGGAGAGGAGAGACATTTAAATGATAGAGGCATGCGGAGAGATGGATATGTGATGAGAAAGAAATACCAAATGGGCATAGAGACAGACATGCATGAGTCCTGCAGAGAGAAACAAGAGGACTAGAGGCACCCATGTATATGGAGAGGCAGACCTGTATACATACCCAAAGAAAGAATGAGAGAAATGAACACAGGGCTGGAGAGACAGATTTAGAGAGACACATAGAAACAAGCAGGAACAAATATGGAGACACGGAGGAACACACACACACACACACACACACACACACACAGGCCTATGCACACATACAGATCCATAAACAAGTGCAGATGTGCATGTGTGGAGACATGTATAGACCCAGAGAAGGCACCTTTAGAGGCAGACAGACCCAGGGGCAAATCACACGCAAACCAAGCCCTTCCTACACGCTTACCCTAACTCTGCTTCTTTCACACAAATAGAGCCAAAGAGAGACACATGTGCCCAGATCCACTAGACTCTCAGACACAGGCACACACCCTGATTCACACAGAGATAGATATACAGACATGTCTATAGTGAGATATATATGCATAGAGAGAGGGGTAGAGACGGGGGAAGGAGGGAGGTGGTTTGGGAGAAACAGACTGGGAGAGAGAAAAGGGGACACTGTGAAACATGTACAGAGGTGCCCACTGGGGGAAGGAATGTGATTACAAAGAGGCAGAATTGGTGGGGTGGGGTGAAAAAAAGAAAGAACAATGGCTAGAGTGAGAGACAGTGAGACAAACCGGCAAAGAAAGATGCTTAGATACAGAGATGTACAGAGAAAGAGATGTGATAGAAAGACTGAGGAAAGTAAAAACATGGCAAAAGCAGTAATATTTAGAATGAGAATAACCAACATACACATACATGCATATGCGCATGCACTCACACACGTGCACTCACACACACACACAGGCCTATCTGTGAAAGCAGTATACATAGTCCGGCCGGCATGACTCAGTGGTTGAGCGATAACCTATGAACCAGAGGTCACAGTTCGATTCCTGCTCAGGGCATATGCCAGATTACAGGCTCGATCCCCAGTGTGGGGCTTGCAGGAGGCAGTCAATCAATGATTCTCTCTCATCATTGATGTTTCTATCTCCCTCTCCCTTCTTCTCTGAAATCAATAAAAATATATATATTTTTAAAAAGAGCAGTAGATATGTAACGTCTAGGACACAGAAGGAAAATGGTGATAATGAGAGAGCCAGAGGGAGAAATACAAAGATATCCACAAACCTAGAGGTGCTCATAGATGCCCAAACAGAAAAACACAAGTTGACAGCTGCTCAGAGAGGGACAGCTGGAGATGAGTCCCCCATCCTGGTTAGTTACACACCAGGATAGACGGTTGTCTGTTTTATGGATGCTTCCCGTTGTCCATTTCTGTTGGATCATGTTGCAGAGTACTTGCATTGAGCACCTTTCCCAGGCTGGTTGTAGATGGGAGGTGACTGTCACATCTAGAGAGAGGGACATATCTACCCAGTGTGCTTACATATTGAGGGGAGGGGTAAAAAGGCCATGCAGGGAATTGGTCAGGGCCTGGGGGTGGGAAGGCAAAAGGCCAGGCTCTTGATTTTTGCTTCCTCGTGGCCTGGTCACTGTCCCTACCTGGGCCTCCCCCATACAGGGTGGCCCAAGTGTTTCTAAGGGCCCCTCCTGCCCTGAGCCACCTGCTGCTCTTTTGTAGGCCTTCCTAATGTTGGGAAGAGCAGCCTGATCAACAGTCTGAAACGCAGCCGTGCTTGCAGTGTGGGAGCTGTTCCTGGGATCACCAAGTAAGCATCTGCCTGCTCTCCCACTTCCATTGACTCACCATTCCCTCTACTCTCACTCCTTCAGCCCCTGCTCCTTTCCTTATCTCGGAGCAGCCTCTGATTCTTCCCTGGGCATGGGAGTCTCATTAACAGCCTGCGTTTACCTGGTACACCCTAGGTGTGGTCTAGGCTCCCAGCTGGGTGTCCCCTCTCACCTCCATTAGCTCCTTGAAGCTTCCTTGAAGCCATGCAGGATTGGGCTATGAATAAGCAGCTTAGCTTCCTAGATGAAGCATCTGAGGCTCAGAGAGTTAAAAGCTGACCATGGTCCTGCAGCTCAGTCCCCAAAGGCAGAGGCTAGACTAGATCAGTCCCAGCTCTGTAGGACTCCGAACCCCTGGCCCTACATCTCTCCACCTTCATCTGTGCGCCATCTGCCCCCACCCCCTCACCCCTTCTCTCAGCTGTGTGCCTGGAGCCTAGAGGATGCCAGACACGTCTGGCCTCATCAGTGTCCTGCATCTTCTCCTCTCCTGCCCAGGTTCATGCAGGAGGTCCACCTGGACAAGTTTATCAGGCTGCTGGATGCCCCAGGCATTGTCCCAGGCCCCAACTCGGAGGTGGGCACCATCCTGCGCAATTGCATCCACGTGCAGAAGCTGGCGGACCCTGTGACCCCGGTGGAGACCATCCTGCAACGCTGTAACCTGGAGGAGGTGCGTAGGGCTTTTGCTTATGCCCTAACCCATTCCAAGGACCCTTCATTCTCTTTCCTGATTGCTCCTCTTCCTCTCGTCACCAGATTTCCAACTATTACGGCGTCTCTGGCTTCCAGACCACTGAGCACTTTCTGATGGCGGTGGCCCAGCGATTGGGTAAAAAGAAGAAGGGAGGCATCTATAATCAGGAGGAGGCAGCCAAAGCAGTCCTGTCTGACTGGGTGAGGTGAGGAGAGGGTAGGGGTAGGGGTGAGGCTCCACAAAGGGGACTGGGCTATAGGACCCTGGGTCAGTGATTATCTAGCAACTCAACGTCTTATTCAGAAGCCACTGGCTGGGTTTGCTCATTGTCCCTCACTGTTTCTGACTCGGGAACTCATTCTTTCTGTGATTGGTCAATTGTTCTCTCAGTGACATCACCACCAATTTCCTCCAACCTCCCAATGTAGTGGGAAGATCAGCTTCTACACACTTCCACCCGCCACGCACACTCTGCCCACCCATCTTAGCGCTGAGATTGTTAAGGAGATGACCGAAGTCTTTGACATTGAGGACACCGAGCAGGCCAATGAAGACACTATGGAATGTAAGTGAGGGCGAGGGGACTGGCATGACCGCACTTGGTCCTGCCCTAGTGGAGCCACAGGGACCTGACAACAAATTCCATGTTTGACCTCCCCCTTCCCTGGCCCTGCTTTTCACCCACAAGGTGGAGAGTTCTCATCTGGGCCATGGGGCTGGTTGTGACTCTTGGTAGATAGGAAGAAAATCTGCAAAGTACTGTACACCATGAGGTGTTCAGGAAATGTAAGCTTCCTTTCTCCGTCTCTTGGGACCTGGCAAGGATAGAGACACTTCTCTCAAAAACCTCTCCTCTCATGCCCTAGGCTTCGCCTCAGCCACTGCATGTCCACTCCTAGATTTTCATTCTTACCTCCATTGATGGGTGAGGCATCTGAGACACAGAAGGGTGATATTTGCTGAATGATGTATAGTCAGTGGAGGCAGAGGTGGCATTCAAAGCAGCTCTCCTCTGCTGTTGTCGAAGACTCTCCCACCTCAGAGTGGTTAAAAGAAGGGACCATCCAGATTCAAATCCAAATTTTGTTTCTTGTTAGCTGTGTGATGTTGCACATGTTCCTTAACTTCTCCATGTCTCGACATCATTTGTAAGACGGACTATAGCCATGGTCGGCAAACTGCGGCTTGCGAGCCACATGCGGCTCTTTGGCCCCTTGAGTGTGTCTCTTCCACAAAATACCACGTGCGGGCACGCACGTACAGTGCGATAGAAACTTCGTGGCCCATGCGCAGAAGTTGGTATTTTGTGGAAGAGCTGGTATTTTGTGGAAGAACCACACTCAAGGGGCCAAAGAGCCGCATGTGGATCGTGAGCCGTGGTTTGCTGAGCCGCAGTTTGCCGACCACTGGACTATAGCATCCACCTGTTATTTAATACATAAAAGCACTGAGAACAGTGACTGGCATGTATATAGTGCTTTCTCTTTTTTATATATGTTTTTATTGATTTCAGAGAGGATGGGAGAGGGAGGGAGAGAAACATCTATACTAATAAAAGGGTAATATGCTAATTAGACCAGACATCTTCCAGACAAAGCCAGTTAGGGGCAGTTAGGGGCAATCAGGCTAGCAGGGGGGAGCAGTTAGGGGATGATCAGGCTGGCAGGGGGGAGCAGTTAGAGGGTGATCAGGCCAGCAGGGGGGAGCAGTTAGGGGCTGATCTGGCTGTTAGGGGGGAGCAGTTAGGAGGCGATCAGGCCGGTGGGGCAGGGAAGCAGTTAGGGGGCGATCAGGCTGGTAGGCAGAGATGGTTAGGAGCAATCAGGTCGGCAGGCTGAGGTGGTTAAGGGCAATCAGGCCAACAGGGGAGCAGTTAAGGGCATCAGACCAGCAGGCAGAGGTGGTTACGGGTGATCAGGCAGGCAGGGGGGAGCAGTTAGGGGGCAATCAGGCTGGCAGGGGAGGGCAGTTAGGGGGCAATCAGGCCAACAGAGGAGCAGTTAGGGGGCGATCAGGCTGGCAGGCAGGTAGGCAAGCGGTTAGGATCCAGTGGTCCCAGAATGCGAGAGGAATGTCTGACTACCGGTTTAGACCTGATCCCGCAGGGATCCCCTGAGGGGTCCTGGATTGGAGAGGGTGAAGGACCCTCAATAGGCTAGGCTGAGGGACCCCCCCTCCCTGCACGAATTTCATGCACTGGGCCTCTAGTCAATGATGATAGAGAATCATTGATTGGCTGCCTCCTGCACACCCCCTACTGGGTATGGAGCCCACAACCTGGGCATCAAACTGTGACCTTCTGATTCATAGGTTGATGCTCAACCACTGAGCCACACTGGCCGGGCTGTAGTACTTTTTTGGTAACTATGAGCTCTTATGTTTTTCCAAAACTCTGGAAGTTTGTTGTCTTCAGATACTGCCATCTGCAGCCCTGGCTTTTGGCTCCTCCTCTCTTCTCTATCTTACCCTAGAAAGGTATCCAGTGCTCTCTGGATCAGTCTGTGGACACTTTGGGTAGTAGAGAAAGCCCTGGATGGCCTGCCTTCTAGTTCTCTGTTGTTGTTTTTTTGGAGTACCGGTAGTCCTTCTCTGGGCCTTTTGGTGTCCTTGGATTCCAAATGAGGATAAGAGAACTTGCCCGCTTTAGAGTTTATTTCCCAGGTGGCTTCGGGCAAGTCAGCCCCCTTTCTGAACGTTACTTTCCTCTTGTATCACATGGGCAGTTGGGAGGAATTGCCGCTCTCATTCTTAGGATGATGCTTGGCCCTAGCTGCATGTGAGGGCAACAGGGGCTCCGTCACTGAGAATGCACTGAGCAAAAGTTGGAGGTCTGGGAAATTGAGAAGAGGGGGAGGTTCCCAGTGAGAATTTTCTACTAAAGGAGTTGGCCCTAGTGTTGGATCTTGAAGAGTGAATAGGGATTATAGGCTCAGGGAAGGGGATGGAAGGGAAGTTGAGAAGCAGGTGTGAGGGTGGTGTGGGCCCAGGCATTGGGCACATTTGTGGTTTGCAGGGGAGGCCAGCTTCAGGCAGGCGAGTGCCCTCCTGCAAAACCCATGCCTTTAATCTTTTGTCCTGGGGCCTCCCAGAAGGAATGAAAGAGCCTTCCCTCCCAACTCCCCTGGGCGGTGTCCACATATCTTATCCACTGAGGCCTGACCAGGAGGCTAGCAGCAGGAAGGAGCCAGGGCCCTGACAGTGCTGTTGCTTGTGTTAAAGGCTTGGCCAATGGAGAATCTGATCAGCTCTTGGGTGACATCGATTCGCTTCAAACGGAGATCAAATGGCTCCATTCTCCAATGATGAAAATAGTAGATGCCTTGGAAAATAAAACCACCGTGTATAAGGTACCTGTCCCTTTTCTTTATGGCAACCCTCTCCTCTACCCACGGCTCTGGGAAGTGGTCAGTCCCTTTTGCCTGGCCCCCCATGACATCTGCCTATAATGGTGGGGAGATGCGGGTTGGTCAAGGGGTTTTGTTTTCCCCCATTTTGTTTAATTAAAATCTTTTTTCTGCCCTGGCTGATTTGGCTCAGTGGGTAGAGCGTTGGCCTGCGGACTAAAGGGTCCCAGGTTCGATTCCGGTCAAGGGCACATGCCTGGGTTGCGGGCTCGATCCCCAGTGTGGGATGTGCAGGAGGCAGCCTATCAGTGATTCTCTCTCATCATTGATGTTTCTGTCTGTTTCTCCCTCTCCCTTCCTCTCTGAAATCAATAAATAAAGTATCTTTTTAAAAATTCTTTTTTCTTTTTATTCTTTTGACTAGGTAATGCATGTACATGGTAAAATTTAAAAGGAACTACAGGGTCTCCAGTGACAAGTAAATCTCTCTCCTGCTTCTATCTCCCAGCCACTCTGTCTCCTCCTTGGAGGCAGTCACCATTAGCAGATTTGAGTGTCCTTTCAGAGCTACTTCAGCTTCATATACACACATATATACATACAAGCAGGTACAGAGATCTATTTTAATTCATATAGTCGTATGCTATTCATATTGCTTTCCACTTTGCTTATTTCACTTACAAATTCATCTTATAGATTGTCCCACATGATTACTTCATAGAGCTATCATTTATTTATTTTTAATCCTCACCTGAGGATATGTTTTTATTGATTTTTTTTAGAGATAGGGAGGGAGGAAGAGAGAGAGAGGGATGACAGAGAAACATCAATCAGTTGCCTCCCGTATGCACCATGACCGATCCGGGATTGAACCCTCAACCTAGGTATGCGCCTTGACGGGAATGGAAGCTGCCACCTTTAGTTGTATGGGACTGTACTCCAACCAACTGAACCATACCAGCCAGGGCCAAGAGCTGTCCTTTTTTTTTTTGATGGCTACATAATATCTGGAAGGGTTTCTTAAGCAACATGGTTAGGTTTGTATATTAGAACATTACTCTGGCAGCTGGGGTAAAAATCAGATTAGAAAGCAAGGGGCCAGGGTGGAGGCAGGGCGTCCAGGAAGGAAGCTGTTACCTGGACTCTTAAGAGATGGTGAGGCCTGCACTGGGGCAGCGGCAGGGTTTCACACCATTCCCATCCTCACTTAGGTTCCCCTGGTGCTTACAGGAAAATTAGTATCAAGTTGTGTGTTTAAGGCCATCCCCTGATAATGTTTCCCACTGAGCCCATAAGCCCCATAACATACCATTTTCCTTCGGGGAACTATAGTAGTTCCCCATTCTTTACTATAACCTCCAGACTCAGGCTCAGGCCCCTGAGCAGGGCCACTCTATTGCCTGACTCGGGGAGATGCCATTTGGGTGTGTTATACTGTGAATGGTGCCCCCCGCCCCCACAACCCCAGAGTTGCACAGTGTGCCCGATAGCCTGGCCTTTTCCCCATTGTAGTGTAGCAGGTAGTCATACATGCCCTTGTTTTTCATAGCATTGTTGTAAGGATTAAATGGGTTAATAGGTATGTGTACATGTACATATATCTGTTGTACACATACACATAATATGTGTGCTTAGAATGGTGCCTGCCTGACACATAGTGAGCTTTCTGTCATTAGCTTTTACTACCCACATGTATCTTCTTTTTTAAAAAAAAAATATATATTTTACAGAGAGGAAGGGAGAGGGATAGTTAGAAACATCGATTAGAGAGAAACATTGATCAGCTGCCTCTGGCACGCCCCCTACTGGAGGTGTGCCCGCAACCCAGGTACATGCCCTTGACCGGAATCGAACCTGGGACCCTTCAGTCCGAAGGCCGACGCTCTATCCACTGAGCCAAACCAGCTAGGGCCACATGTATCGTCTTTTATTTTATTATTGAGTAATTCTTTATTGTTGAAACCATTATATATGTCCCCCTTTTCACCCACTGACCTCCTCCAGCCTCCTCCCCCCACATGTATCTTCAATTCTAGCCAACAGACACCCTTTTGGGTGCCCAGTTATACTCTGTGCTTTTCCAGTGTTCATTCTGGAATGACTCCTATCAGAAGTATGTTGACCACCACCATTCCCTCAACCTCTGTCATTTACACTGTGTCTCTCTGGTGGGCACATAACACACTCTGTCTTGCATGGTTGGTTGTAACCTTTTTAGTCTGATTGTTTCCCAAGGATGGAACTGTATCTGGCTCATTTCTACAGCATGTCCCTACACAGAGCTGGGCACAAAATAGGTATCAGAAAATATTTGTTACATTGACTAAGACCTTGAAGGGTCACTTGAGCAAAGAATCATTGTAACACAATTGTCACTGATCAAGTACCTCTACTTTTTCATTTTCTCCCTGTGAAAGCCATGCAAGCTATTCATTATCCACCGCCGTTTGACAGATGATCAGGCTGTGGCTGAGAGGTTAACTAAGAACCTGCTAGTCAGTGGTGGAGTGGCTCCAGGCTCCTTGTTCTTACCTAGCCTCTTCTGCAGAAGTCTTTGCAGGTAACTTTGGGGGGTCCAGAACTCACTGCTGTCCTCTGTCTCACCAGAATGGAGAGTTCACTGAGTATTGCATGAATTCGAATGGTCATCAGAAGGAGTGGGCTAAGCGCAATGCGGACTCCTATCCCAGGAACATCTGCCCAGTGGACCGCCGCCCGATGGTACAGAAGATCATGGAGACAGACCCCCTGCAGCAGGGCCAGGCTCTGGCATGTGCTTTGAAGAATAAGAAGAAGATGCAGAAGCGTACAGGTGGGGATACCTGACCATCCCCCTGTGTCTTAAAAGGGCTCACCTGGGGCCTTGATTAGGGGCTCCTAAGTGAGCACCTCCATGTATCCAGCCCTAGGCAAGGGTTAGGGCCAGGGATGGGTTAGGAGGCTCACCTATAGGCACAGTGGTTCTCAAAGTCTAGCTCAGAACTGCCAGGGGGCTTGTTAAAAAACATATTTCTGGGGACCTGTCTCCAGAGTTTCTAATTGAATAGTTTGGCCATGGGGACTGAGAATTTGTGATTCTAACTGCTTCCAAAATGCTTTTAGTACTCGTCTGGGGACCACACTTGGAGAACACTGGCCTAGTTTGTGTATCAAATAACCACCATGTATTTATCAGCTGCTTTTTATGTATTAGGAAGCTTATAGGCTATATATAATGGTTACTTTATCAATAGGCATTGTACTCAAAATCCAAAAGGCATAAAAGAATATACAATAAAATGTCTTACCAATCCCCTAGCCAGCCAGGCCTCCTCCCAGCAGCAACCAATTAATTTCTTTTAAAAAAATGTTTTATAGATTTTAGAGAGGAAAGGAGAGGGAGAAAGAGAGATAGAAACTTCAATGATACCGAAACATCAAAGAGAGAGACATTGATTGGCTGCCTCCTGCATGCCCCCTATTGGGGATCAAGCCCATAACCCAGGCCTGTGCTCTGACTGGGAATTGAACTGGTGACCTCTTGGTGCATGGGTCTACGCTCAACCCCTGAGCCACACCAGCCGGGCCCAGTTAATTCCTTGTATCTCGTTCCTGAGATAGGTACACAGGCAAATATCTATATATTCTTTATTCTCTTTTTCTATACAAATACTTCATTTTCCATTTAATACATATTAGAGATTATTTCCATGTCAATTCACAAAAGAACTCCTTCATTTTAGTGGTGGTCTGTTGTGTGGCTGGCCCATTTTTGTCTTCATGCTATGCCAACCTTCACTAACCCTTTGTAATAGTCTTACCCACATTTGGTCAGTGAGGAAACTGAGCCCCAGAGACATTAAGTGACACACTCAAGGCAAGACAACTAGTATTTAATGGAGCCAAAATGAAAACCTAGGATTCATTGACCCCATAAGCTCTTTTCTTTGAACTAGACTGTGTTCCTAACCATTCACTCTTGGCCTGGTTCCACACTGAGGCCTGGGAATCCAGAGATGGATTGCCCTGGAACTCCTGGTCTTACTGGGGAGTGAGGAGGAAACAAGAAAACAGACATTGGCAACACAGGGTGATCACTGTGAAGACACCCAGTCTCGAGGTGGTAATGGGGTAAGGGTGGTCAGAGAAGGCTTTCCAGAGAACAATAGGGTGTGACGAGGATGGGAGGTGAGAATTCAGGCTCAGTCTACCTAGTGTCCCTTTGCTGTCCCTTTGCTGTGAGAACTTTGAGGGTGATGACAGAGTGAACACAGTAAAAGGAAATTGATATTTTTTTTAAATATATTTTATTGATTTTTTACAGAGAGTAAGGGAGAGGGATAGAGAGTTAGAAACATCGATGAGAGAGAAACATCGATCAGCTGCCTCCTGCACACCGCCCACTGGGGATGTGCCCGCAACCCAGGTACATGCCCTTGACCGGAATCGAACCTGGGACGTTTCAGTCCGCAGGCCGACGCTCTATCCACTGAGCCAAACCGGTTTCGGCGGGAAATTGATATTTTGATACTGGGAAGGAATAAAAATTCTTAGAGCCCAGTGAGTCTGACATTCTAAGATGGAAGTTGTGTTGGAGTGATCATTTCACATGTAGACAAACGGGTCTGCCTCAGAGGTTGAACAATGGCTGCTTGCAGCCCACCAGGTGTTTTGTGTAGTGTTAGAGGGTAAGTGAGCCAGTTTTGGAGTTTGGTGCAGACCAAGGTCAATGTAGGCTAGCTCCTGCAGGCCTCCTGTTGGCAAGCCAGCCACCAAATGACTGCCTGTATTTCTCCATCTGCAGATAAACTCGCCAGTAAGCTGTCCGATTCCATGATGTCTGCCCTCGACCTCTCTGGCAACACTGATGACAGTGCTGGTGACTGATCGGCTGATCTCACCCCCTCCACTCCCCAAGTACCGGTTCCAGTGGGATGGGGGATACAGATGAAATAAAATGGTTTGCTTCTCCCTGAAGCACACACACATGAAAAGAATCCCTCCACCATATCTCCCCCACATTGTTCCCTCCATTCTCCAGGGAAGAAAAAGGGTCCCAAGTGGCTGGAACTGACCAGCCCAATGCCCTTTATTTAACCCCCATCATATTTGACAAGAGACATAAATTATCATAACATCTGATGCTAACAGTTTATCCCCCACCCTATAGGTTGGGCTGCTTGAGGATAGAGGGGGACCAACCCCTCACCAAATTCTCTTGGACAGCTAAGCATGCAACTAGAGGCTAGGCTGCTGGTAGACCTGGTGGTCCCTGGAGGGTGATGATTTCTTTACCAGTCCACGACAGAGCTTGGCTGCAGGACATTTCCCACATGGGCTGCAGACCACGCATCTTTCACCCAAATACACAGATCCTCACCTGGGTTGCACTGGGAGTAGAGTGAACAGCGACGAGCCTTGTGTGTCTGGAAGGCTCTGGGGATAGGACAGGAAGGAGACAACACACAAGCCTGGCTGGTGCTGAAGTGTAAGTGCCACCTTGTTCACACAAAGGGAAAACAAGGCACCAATTGGGAGGGCAGTTAGGTGTGTTAGGGGCAAACCTCACCGTAGGGCATTTTGGGGCAGACTGAGTTGGAGGAATCCTTTGGACTGAAGCATTCTGGGTGGGCCCCGCCCTTGTATGACCATGGCTCACCCAGCACCAGCATTTGAATTTGTGATTCAAAAGGGTTCTAGTACCATTTATTCACAGGCTGCATCCTCAAGACAGGTGTCAATTGGGGGTACACCATCCAACTCCTTTTCTGGTGTCCAAAGTCATTATATCCCATTAAAATATAATAAGCCATCTCCTTTGGGGACAGACAAGGACAGAGAAGCCCAGTTAGTGTCAGGGGCCCTTGCAAAGGGACTGGGTGGATGATGGCAGCAGAAACACCATCTTTACTCCATGTGTTGGGGTAAGCACATGACTTCAGTTCCTAGCCATCTACCTGAGACTGGACACATTTGAAGGGAGTGGGCATTAGATTGCTTCAGTCTTTGCCCCTCCCCCCCACCTCAAACTTCCATACCATCTCTGGACCCAGAGCCATATCTTAGCCTTGCCTCTCATGTTGTCACCCCAGAATTTACCTTTTCAAATCCTAGTAACCATAGGAAGGATTGGCGAGCCCTTGGCTGCAGGCTGATTAATAGGGAAGCGCGGGCCGCTCCCAAGTCCTGGAGCAGCCAGGGCAGAGAATTATGTACTGCTTGAGCACAAACCCCCAAACCCTGGAAACCTGTTCACCTCCATCAACCCTCAGTACCACTCTGCCAGGAAGGGATTAGTCTCCCCGTGTAGGAAAAATAAACAGTCTCGTGTAGTTGTCAGGACACCCATGACATTAAGTGGTAGTGCCATTGGAACCCAGGTGTGATAACCTGCAGCAGGCCACGTTCTCTACATTATTCTGCCTCCTCAGCATCCATTAAGCACCTGCTGTGTGCCAGCCTTTGATATCAACCCTTTAAATATATTCTATATTTTTTGGTTTTGAAAAATTGGGCCCTTCTATCGTTTCACTGAGTCTTGGATGAGGTACAGCTTATTTCACACTGTCATCTCCTGGTAGATGTATGTTACAATGAAAAATTTGGGTGTCAGGACAGCTAAGGCCATTTTACAACTATATGGCATTTCATAATTTAGCATTTAAAATATTTTCTAGTACTCCTAGGAGATGCTGGTTACTAAGTACTAGAAATAGGCGGTATCTTGACTAAGAAACAGCCTAAATTGGCCAAAATCAGACAGAAGAACTATAGTCATTGTCGAGGTAAGAATATGGGACTCCTGATTCTCTACAGCATATCAAGTTTTTTAAAAAAAACCATTTCTTGAGTCCCCCCTTTACCTTTAGAATATATATAATTTACATTCAATAAGTGAATTGCCAGTATAAAAATAGTCACGGGGATGTAAAGTACAGCACAGGGAATAGAGTCAATAATATTGTGATAACTTATGTATGGTGTCAGATGGGTATGAGGCTTATAAGGGTAATCACTTCATAAATTATATAAATGTCTAATCATGGTGTTATACACATGAAACTAATCTAGTATTGTATGTCAACTGTAATAGAAAAATAAAATTTAAAAATATTTAGAAGTTTACTCTTTATAACTTCTGTGAGTTTGAACAATATACACAGTAGTGAACTAGCATCACAATTGAGATACACAATAGTTAACATCACCCCCAAAATTTTCAGGCCCCTTTGTAGTCAACCCCCACTCTCATCCTCAGATCCTGGGAACCACTGATTGTTTTCTGTCCCTATAGTTTTGCTTTAGCATGAATGTCACGCAAAAAGAATCATACGGCGTGTAGGCTGATTTTATCTATAGGTTTTACATTTTAAAAAATTTTACATAGAATAAAATTCGCTCTGGTGTACAGGCCTATAGGTTTTGACAAATGCATATAATTATGGAACCAACACAAGGTATAGAACAGTTCCCTTACCCTCTGATCACCGCCAAATTCATTCCTGCTGCTTTATAGTAAAAGCCTCCCTACCCCTGACTCCTGGCAGCCCTGATTTGTTCTTTGTCCTTATAGTTTTGTCTTGTGGAGAATGTCATGTAAGTGGAATTTTACAGTCTATAGGCTATTTTATAGCCTTCTGATACTGACTTTTTTCACTAAGCATAATACATTTGAGGTTCATCCACGTTTCTGAGTTGTACTTTATTGTATGGATGTAACACTGTTTGTATATCCATTTCTCAGTGGAAGTCACATTGGATTGCTTCCAGTTTTGAATGATTACAAATAAAGCTGCTACAAACATCTGCATGCGAATCTTTTGTGTTTTCATTTCTCTAGAGTTAATACATGCAGTTGGATTGCTGGGCTATATGGTAAGTATATGTTTAACATTCTCAGAAACTGCTAACCTGTTTCTTAAAGGAGCTCTACCATTTGGCATTCCCATCAGTATGTGTGAACATTCCACTTGCTCCCCATCTTTTGCAGCTCTTGGCATCGTCAGGTTTTTGACATGAGCTATTCTTAGTAGAATGCAATGTTATCTCATTGTGTGTTTTAAAATTCTCACCCAAGGATATTTAAAAAAATATTTTTATTGATTTCAGGAAAGGAGAGAGAGAGAGGAACATCAATGATGAGAAAGAATCACTGTTAGGTTGCCTCCTGCACACCCCACACAGGGGATCGAGCCTGCAACCCTGGCATGTACCCTGACCGGGAATTGAACCGTGACCTCCTGGTTCATAGGTTGGTGCTCAACAACAGCGCCATGCTGACCAGGCACCCAAGGATATTTTTTTCCATTGATTTTTAGACAGAGTGGAAGGGATGGGGGTGGGGGAGAGAGGGAGAGAGGGAGGAAGAAACATCAACGTGAGAGAGACACATCAATTGGTTGCCTTCCACTCACTTCCAGACCAGGGCTGGAGATGGAATCAATGAGCCAGGGCTCATTGTTTTGATTTGCATTTCCCTTCTGACTAACGATTTGAGCATATTTTTCATGTGCTTATTTGTCACCTGTATATCTTCTTTGAGTAATGTCTTCTTAAAAAAACCTTTATTGAGATTATTACAGATGTCCCTCTTTCCCCCCCATTTTCCCCCTTTACCCAGTTCCCGCCCCACCCCACCCTAGGCCTTCGCCACCCTATTGTCTGTATCCATAGGTAATGCATATATGCATATAAGATCTTTGTTTAATCTCTTCTTGGCCCCCCATCCCCCTTCCCTCTGAGAATCATTAGTCTGTTCCATTTCCATGCCTCTGATTCTATTTTATTCACCAGTTTATTCTGTTCATTAGATTTCTTATTTGTTTAACTCAGTTGTTGATAGGTATGTATTTGTTGCCCTGTTGTTTATATTTTTTTCTTTTTCTTCTTCCTCTTAATGAATACCCTTCAACATTTCATATAATACTGGTTTGGTATTATATTAAAGCTTCTTTAGCTTGTTCTTATCTGTGAAGCTCTTTATCTGACCTTCAATTCTAAATGATACCTTTGCTGGGTAGAGTAATCTCGGTTGTAGGTCCTTGCTATTCATCACTTTGAATATTTCTTGCCACTCCCTTCTGGCCTGCATAGTTTCTGTTGAGAAATCATCTGACAGTCATATGGGCATTCCCTTGTAGGTAACTCGCTGCTTTTCTCTTGCTGTTCTTAAGATTCTCTTTTTCTTTAGCCCTTGGCATTTTAATTATGGTGTGTCTTGGTGTGGTTCTCTTTGGGATCCTCATGTTTGACGTTCTCTGCACTTCCTGGACTTGTAAGTCTATTCTTTCACCAGGTATGGGAAGTTTTCTGTCATTATTTCTTCAAATAGGTTTTCAATATCTTGCTCTATCTCTTCTGGCACCCCCATAATGTGAATGTTGGTACACTTGAAATTGTTCCAGAGGCTCCTTACATTATCTTCATATTTTTTTATTGTTTTTTTCTTTTTGCTCTTCTGGTTGGGTGTTTTTTGCTTCCTCATAGTTCAAATCATTGATTTCTCAGAATCCTCTACTCTACTTTGAATCCCTGTATATTATTCTTTATTTTGGTCAGTGTATGCTTAATTTCTGACTGGGCCTTTTCCATCTTTTTGGAGGTTTCTAGAAGATTCTTGAGTAACCTTGTAACTGTGGTTTTGAACTCTATATCCAGTAGTTTGCTTTCTTCCATTTCTTTCATTTGTGACCTGTTTGTCTCCACATTTTGGCTGCTTCCCTGTATTCGTTTCTATGTATTGGGTAGAGCTGCTATGTCTCCTTGAGTTGGTAGAGTGGCCTTGTGTAGTAGGTGTTTTAGAGGTTCCAATGGCCCAACCTCCCCAGTCACCTGAGCTGGGAGCTCTAGGTGCACCCCTTTGTGGGCTGTAAGCATAGTCTTGTAGTTGAGACTTGATTGCTGTTGGTGTCAGTGGGAGGAATTGACCCCCCACCAGGCCAATTAGCTGTGAGGACTAGCTGTGACTACAGTGGGAGAGCTGCTAT